CAATGGTTTAAGGCTGCCACATACCAGAATTTACAAACAAGGAACCGGAGCTAGCAGATTGGGGAAGGCCGGTGGGATCTGCAGGGGAAGCTAACGGAACTACCCAAAAATTGGAGGAACAAGAGCAATTAAAGTAAACCCAACCTAAATCAAGGTGAAAGAGAGGGATTCATGGCTAGATCTTACCAGAAAAAGGCCCAAACTCTCACACCCACATAGCAGCCAGCGGACAAGGGAGAAGAGCAAAGCAGGACCGGGATTTTCTAGGTTGAGGGAGAAGATTCCAAGCCCCAAATCTTGTGATTGAACAAGAAAGAACGAGAATTTCAAGCCCCTTTTTCGGTTTTCAAAGGAAGAGGAAGTCGATGGCTTTGGGGGGGGGTTTGTCGGGCTGCACAAAGAAGAAGAGCAGAGCAGAAACGTGTATGGCTGGGAAGAAAAGGAATGAAAATATCAGCTGATCCTTATCCTAATTTCCTTTCTTTTTAGCCCCTCAACTTTTTAAAATTTGACTATTAAGCCCCTCAATAATATTTCTCATCAAATAAGTCCCTCAATTAAATGCTAAAATACCCCAAAATTTTGGGATATTACAGCAGTTCGTCCTTCTTCTCTCTATTCTCCAGATCTGAATTTTTTATCATTATAATAGGGGATTTTGGAGCCTTGCAATTAAAGTCCATCTAGCCCTTCAAAGCCACCTCACAATTGCCCCAATTAGGTTCCACCTTTTTCTTCTGACTTGTCTTGGAAAGTGCTAAGACATTTAGATCCCCTAGAACCCATTAAGAATAAACAAATAGTTGAGCTGTCAAAATTTACCATTCCAGAATTTTTGTTTCGAAGCCAGAAATATTGCTTCGAATCATTTTCGGAAAACAAAAGTTCGAGATTGATTCGAACCAAAATAAATTGGTTCGAACCCAGAACTCTGAACAAAGAGGAACATGAATTAATTCTAATCGTGGGGAAAGATTAGAATCCTTGAATTAATTTTCTTGCACACTCAGCACAAAAATATATTAAACTCTTTTGAATCATAGTTTTAAATCATCATCAAAATACAAAGAGAACCTAACAATTATCACTTTTGATCATGTCCTGTATGCCTTTTGGATCTTTTGCGCAAGCATTTTTAAAGATAACATTGGGTGTCACATATTTCCTGTTTGAGATTAATGAATATATTGGTTTATTTTTGGTTCCTTACTTTTTAGCTTCTGGGCCCCTCTCAATGGTTTGCCTCATTTCTTCCATTGCTGCAACTTGATTTATCTATTTTTTCGGTTTTCTTTTCTGGCCTGCCTTCAAGTATTCTTAAATGCTTGAGTAAGTGAGAAGGTGAAAGGTGAAGAAGATAAATCATTCACAATGAATTTATATATAACAGTTTTCTATTATTTTACTAAAAGAGTATAGGCGCTACTCCAATGCTTCCGATGCTCAAAAGGAAATCAGCACAAAATACAGCTCAAAGTAAAGCATATCCATTGCAATCCTGCCTTAACAGACTCATTATTATATGATTAACTAAATACCTTTAATAGGACCAGACCGAACTTGAAACTTTGTGCTTTGTCACGATCCTCTTCTCTTTGCAATCTTTATACTTTTGTCTTAGCCTCCTCCTAACACAACATGCTATCCCTATTTTCATCAATTTCATATCAGCTCAAAAGAAAGAAAATGGCCTAAAATTGGCACATTCTAACGACTTAGAGCCTGTTTGGTGTGGCTTGTGAGAGCTTTTGTTTTTTGAGTACTATTATGAGTGATAAATTTAAATTTTTATTGGAGGAAAAATAGAGTTTTAGCTTTTAGAAAGGTGAAAAAGTGAGTGAAAAGTAAGTAAAAAAGTAAATAAAAAGGGAGTTTATGAAAAGTTTGGATTTGAAACTTTTGAACTTTTACTGTTTAAAAGCTTTTTAAGGTTAAAAAATATTTAAAATTGTAAGTTTTAAGAGAGAAATTTAAATTCATGAAATATGAATAGTGTTCAAAAGCTGAAGCTCCTAGGAGCCACACCAAACAAGCCCTTAAACTTCCAAGAACCCTTGAACTTCTTTTCTTTGAGACCATTACCCTCAACCTACAATACAAGAGAATTAGCTTTTAAATTACCCGTTATATAAGTAATTGGCTAGCTCAAAATGGATAGCAACCCGTCACGTGTGTCAGGAGAACGTTCATATTCAGTTAGCCCATGACCCGTTAGTGCTAAATTGCCACATCATACTGCCCACGTGGCTTCGTGTTCCTACTTTGATTTTAAAATGTAAAATGATTTAGAAACAATTTTTTTGAATAATTTTTTTT